AATTCAGACATGACTTGCCTGTCCATTCACTACTCAGACAAAGTAAAATAAAATAAAAGATGTGGACGTTTCAAGATAGGTTGACTAAATTATTCATTTCATTAAAGCAGCCACATCTTTTTTCAGGTCCAAAGAAATATGTTTGTGGCCATGAATATATGGGTAATTTGAATGAAGCAGAACTGAAATAATGAACTTTATTTTACTTATTAATTACACAGAGTTATACTTTCCCATGATCCCTACATAAAGAAAGACTGATTGATTGAAAGACTCAAAATCTCCTCATGTTATACAGTATATTGGGCTTTTTATTCTTTGTTTTTAATATAAAGAGAATTTTATCTCAGAAAATATTAAAAATGCAATGCTCACCATTGTGGTCTGAAATGTACACTCGACTCTATTACCTCAGAATTTTATCACATCATTTTACTAGAACAGTTCTGATAAGCCAAAAAAAAAATTGTTATCAAAGGATACAAACTATTTTTAAAAAAAGAATAAGCTTTTTGTTATTCAATCTGTTTATTTTATTTTTATTTTTATTTTATATTGGATTTCTATACCGCCCTTCTCCCTGAGGACTCAGGGCGGTGTACAGCCAGATTAAAAAACATGCAGAACAAATATTAAAAACAATTAAAAGATATATAAATTTGGCCCAATTAAAACTCATTTACCAATTAAAAACGTTTAAAACATTTAAAAACAGTTAAAAATTTCATCTTAAGCCAGCCCGGCTTGTTTAAATAAATGGGTTTTAAGGGCGCGACGGAAGGCACTGAGGTCTTGGATTCTCCTTATCTCTGGGGGGGAGCTGATTCCAGAGGGTAGGTGCCCCCACAGAGAAGGCTCTCCCCCTGGGGGTCACCAGCCTACATTGTCTGGCTGATGGCACCCCGAGGAGGCCCTCTCTGTGGGAGCGCACGGGTCGATGGGAGGTCGTTGGTAGCAGCAGGCGGTCTCGAAGATAGCTAGGCCCTATGCCATGGAGCGCTTTAAAGGTGATAACCAACACCTTGAAGCGCACCCGGAAGACAACTGGGAGCCAGTGCAGCTCGCGCAGGAGCGGTGTTACATGGGAGCGCCATGCTGCTCCCGTCACTACCCGCGCTGCTGCGTTCTGGACCAGCTGGAGCCTCCGGGTGCTCCTCAAGGGGAGCCCCATGTAGAGAGCGTTGCAATAGTCAAGGCGAGAGGTGACGAGGGCGTGAGTGACTGTGCACAGGGAATCCCGATCAAGAAAGGGCCGCAACTGGCGAATCAGGCGAACCTGACAAAATGTCCCCCTGGTTACAGCCGTCAGATGTTCCTCCAAGGACAGCTGCATATCCAGGAGGACTCCCAGATTGCGAGCCCTCTCTGTGGGGGCCAAAGACTCGCCCCCAATAGTCAGTGATGGAGTCAACTGACTATATCGGGATGCCGGGAGCCACAGCCACTCAGTCTTGGAAGGGTTGAGCTTGAGCCTGTTCCTCCCCATCCAGACCCGTACAGCCTCCAGGCACTGGGACATCACTTCAAGGGCATCGTTGGGGTGGCCTGGGGTGGAGATGTACAGCTGGGTGTCATCAGCGTACTGGTGGTATCTCACCCCAAAGCCATGGATGATCTCACCCAGCGGCTTCACATAAATGTTGAACAGAAGGGGCGAGAGGACCGATCCCTGCGGCACTCCACAAATGAGAGGCCTCGAGGTCGACCTCTGCCCCCCTGCCAACACAAACTGCGACCGGTCGGAGAGAAAGGAGGAGAACCACCGCAACACAGTGCCTCCCACCCCCAACTCTTCCAGCCGGTGCAGCATGATACCATGGTCGATGGTATCAAAAGCCGCTGAGAGGTCTAACAGGACCAGAACAGAGGAACAACCCCTGTCCCGAGCCCTCCAGAGATCATCAACCAACGCGACCAATGCCGTTTCTGTGCTGTGCCCAGACCTGAAACCCGACTGGAACGGATCTAGATAAGATGTTTCCTCCAGGAATTGCGGAAACTGTCGTGCGACCACACTCTCAACAACCTTCGCCATAAAGCGAAGGTTGGAGACAGGACGATAGTTGGCCAATATTGCCGGATCCAGGGACGGCTTCTTGAGGAGAGGCCTCACCACCGCCTCTTTCAAGGCGGTGGGGAAGTAACCCTCACTCAACGAAGCGTTGATAACACCCTGGAGCCAGCCTCGTGTAACCTCCCGGGAAGCCAGTACCAACCAGGAGGGACACGGGTCCAGTAAACATGTGGCCGCACTAAGTCTCCCCAAAATTCTGTCCACATCGTCAGGAGTCACAGCATCAAACTCCTCCCAGATAACATTCTGAAGACTATTCCTCGTCACCCTGCCCTGATCTACCCAGTCAGAGTCCAAATCCCCCCGGATCTGGGCGATTTTGTCATACAGGTATTGTCCGAAATCCTCCGCCCTGCCTTCTAAGGGATCCTCCCGCACTCCCGGATGGAGCAGGGCGCGGGTCACCCTAAACAGGGCGGCCGGACGATTCCCTGATGACGCAATAGAGGCGGAAAAGTAGTTAGACTTTGCCATCTCTATCGCCACTAGGTAGGCCTTAATATGCGACCTTACCTGTGTTCGATCAGATAGGCTCCAATTTACACACAAGTTCCTTAGCTTATTCCATTCTGTGGATCAATTTCAGTTATGGATTTCAATGCAGCTTGCAAAGTACACCCACTTTTACGGGCTATTACAAGATATTAATGAACTATTAAACTACAAAGCCCTGAAACAATTTCAAAGGCTATTTTTCTTGCCCAGATCGGTTCTTCTTCCTCTCTTTTCACTATGTTTTTAGAACCTACCATAATTCTTAATTTAATGGCATGCTTATGATAAGGCTGGGATTTGCTAGTGTTAATCGGATAATGTCATTAATGCATCTGAAACCATTTTTCTGGGATGGCCAACGAATGGGAGTATTTTGTTAGAGATTATGACAAAGAGATAAAGAGGCTGTGGACCAGATTTTGCAATGGGTTTTCAGATATGGTAGTTTGAGGAATTGTGAAACGAGGCAACCCACAAGTTATCTCACAACTCAGTTCGCCAACAGATTATGAATTTAAAGTTTCATCGTATACATATACATAACATGTGAATGGTTTTTTAAATGTTATCTAATTCTGGGTTTTATTTAATTGACCAAACTAAGTAATAATTTTAATTAGCAATTTTATGATGTTTGTGTGTCTATATTTTTCTTGACTGTACACCGCCTTGAGTCCTACAGGAGAAAGGCGGTATAGAAATATAATAAATAAATAAATAAATAAATAAATAAATAAATAAATAAATAAATAAATAAATAATAATAACCGATTATCATTTTGGAATTGATTTTTGGATGTTGGGTTGGGTTATTTTGCTCTTACTAGATCCATTACCATCTCCACATATCACTTTATCAGATATTCCCATTAGTCATTTAAATCAGCATAAGTGTGTGTGTGTGTCTGTCTCTGTGTAAAGATTTTTGATATATATGTAATCTGAATTTGGGAGGGTCTAGCATACATTGTGCAGATGTTCCTATATACAATGCCAGTTATTTGGTTGTGCCATTCAGTATACACTGCTTGTTTCTTAAACCTGCCACTCTATTTTGGACTGTCTATGAAGCCTTCTTCCAAAGTCTGCACCTTGAATTCTGTCTGGTGGTTGGTATGTGTGTCTATGTTTCTGTGTGTATACCATTTGCCTGAACAGACAAACTCATTACCATCAGTTTATTTTCCTTGAACCAATCTATTACTATCACCAGATTCTATCTATTACTATCACTAGATTATCCCCTTTCATTTACATTTTCATAAATACTCAGTTATTTTTAAAAGATGAAGAGAATGTGCATCAAGAAGAAAAGGAAGGAAAAATGCCTTTGTTTTAGATGATGTGCTCTACATTGCAGAGATGTTTCATTCTGTGAATAATGAAGTTTTCCAATTGACTGCAATAAGTAAATCTTGCTCAAACAGGTTTATTCATAGGTAAATTCATGTAAAACTAAAAACTTGTAGTGTAAATTCTACAGAAAGGAACCCCAAGTTACTTACATTCAGAACAAATGCTTTTAAAAAAAGTTACCATATTGAATTAGAATGCCCTTTTCAATTTCAGCTAGCAACCAATTAAAAGTTGCAAGATTGACGTGGATTCAGTTTATGCCCAGTCCAAGTAAGTTAACTATGTGAATTAAGATATTTGTATTCAATATTGATCCTGCTGAGGTCCATGGTCATCTTTCCTAGTTTAGATTTTGATTAAACCAAATCAAACCATCCTGCAGTGGCAAGAGAATAAGGAATGTTTTAATACTTCGGTGTTTGTCACTCAACAATACTTAGAGTTGTCACATTTAGAAAACTAGAGGAAAACAGCACTGCGTACTTAACTGTTGTAGGAGGAGAGTCATGTTAGATTAGGGTGAAAAAAACATCCCAAAAAGTGTCATAGCACTTTTCCCAACTAACAAGTTTTATTAAAAGGCATAATCTTTCATGAGTTGCAGCTCAGTTTTTTAGATCAACCTGTCTTAGAGCAATTTATCTTGAGTGACATCTACTGGTGAAAAGTGAGTGTTCAGCAAATCTTTGTCACTAGTTGCTTCTGGAAGATTACCATTTAACCAGCCTAGATTGCTTTCATATGTTACTCAATCACCTCATAAGTATGTTACTTATCAAAGTAGCAGTCAGAATGTAATATATCCCTGCTGCTACCAAATAATCTAAAACCAGAGACTGCAACCTGCTTTTATTTTAAAGAGGCAAACAACATCCTGCAATCTTTTCTATTAAAACTCATGCCGTTTCCACTAAAAGAACTAGAAGCCTCAGTTTATTAGCTTAAAAAGTCAAACCTGTCTTTCTTTTTTCCCCTGGCAGTGTAGATGGAGAGAAGAACGTTGTTGCTGGGAATTTGGGAATAGCATTTTTCGCGGACCTTGATCTCCTATATCAGTGCCAAAGCAAGACCTTTGAGATCTCCGTGTCGCTATTACTCTTCGGAGATTTCAGTCTGCTTCTTGCCTAATTACTACTTCATTCTCGATTTCACCTTCTTTCCTCTGAACGTCTTTTCAAAAACAGCACCAGACATCTTGGAATATGAGGTGAAGCAGAGTCGTCCGGCGGCAAAGAAGGTTCGGCGAATGGAACTGTCCAGCGTCTCGAGGTGCTGAAAAAGTCTTCAGACGTTCGCTTGGAGAACGGGCAGCGTTAAGGCTGACGGGCCAAATGCTAGGAAAGCTTGGTAGGGCGGCGCCACCTATCTACTAAATAGGAATCGAGCGAAGATTAACTCAAAACGACAGAGAAACACGAGGGTGGGAGGCGGCATCAGGCGCATTCGCAAGAGCACGCCCAGCTCCTGTACCCTCTCCGTGCCTGCTGAGCTAATGGGATAAGAGCCCCCTGGCAAGCGCCTCCCCCTTCCTGGGACCGCCCTCTCCTACTTGGGCAGCTAGAGTAAGCGCCTTCAGCATCTGGATGGCAATGCTTCAGCCCATCTGCTGAACCCGTGAAGAAGATGGAATCGTCTGGCAAGAGACCTCTTTACCCAGAAGGTAAGGGAATGGACGCACAAGGAGGAATGATGTGCATGTGGTCGACGGGAGGTGGGGGTGGGGGCAAGTGGCGAGTAGAGGGATTTATCTCTCCTCACTTTTTACCTCTTCTTCTACCTTCTTCTTCTTCTAAGTCTTGCTTGTCGGACTGTGGATGTTTTTCGAAACTGTAGCAAAATTAGGAATGCTAAGGAACAAGATTCTTTCCCTTCAATGTCTTCCTTTTCTTCTTCCACTTCTGTTTTGTTTTTCTGATTTTCCTTACTAATACCAGATCAGCTCCCTCTGCCTAACTCCACATGTACTCACACTGCTTAAGTGAATGCTGAATTTCTAAAAGAGATGGCGCACACTGGGGGGGGGGGACGACAGCCGAGTGCACCTATATCGCATATAATGTATGTGTCTTAGTTTCTCAAAGTCACCCAGTCCTGCTGTAACCCATACAATACTTTCTTGGAGTTTCTTTAACTCACAGGGCAAGGATACTCAAATTTCTAGATGCCTTAGGTATAATTTTGCTAAGACCTAAAGAAGGTGGGGAAAAATGGAGTTTTCCTTGAAAAGAGAGCAAAGTATATGCAGGGGCTGAAGAGAAGAATCAGCCACACTGGGTGCAAGAGATGCTTGCAGGAAAAAAACATTTTAGTTAGTTATAGCATGTGGGAAGGCTCCAACAGGTAATTTAGATTTTCCTGTCCTTATTCCATTCTCTCCTATCTGTGTCTAGGCTGGTGTATATAATAAATACTTTATTTATTTATTTATTTCTGCAATTAAAGCACACAATCTCTTTCCAGAATGCTTGTTTTTTAAGCTGCCTTGAAGAGAAATATTCTAAGGCTGATTCCCTTCAAGAGAGGGGGAAGTTAAAATGCTTGGCTAGAATTTCCAGATTAATTCAAAATGTATATCCCCAAGGTGACTAGTTGGCTGCCTGTCTCAATTAACCCAGCAGGTTGAGCAAAACTAAATTAAGCAATTCAGTAGTAGCCTCCTTATCTGTTTTCCTGTACTGTTATTTCCTGCTTTTCTTTTACCTGCATGTGGAGAATCTAGAGATAAGAAAGAACTTTCAAATTTATCCCCAAATTTATATGTCTATGTATCTTGCCACACCCACACCCCCCAAACAATATGAGAACAATAATAATATTTTCCTTTAATATAATGTCTCAAGGGTGATGGGAAGTTACAAAATATGAAGAACAAATAAATAAATAAATGTATTGGGCTCATTATGATCTGTGCGTAGTGCTTAGTTTGGAGAGATGAAAGTTGGCATATCTTTATTGTGCTACTCTAAACTGTGTTTATGCTGGGCACATCAGTTAGAGAAAGATAAATGGAATTTCTTGTAAGCAGATGTATTATCAGCTGGGAGGAGAAGAGGGGAATCTAATTGTGAGAAAGTGCAAAAGACTCATCTGAGCACAGTTTGCATTTTTAAATGCATTGAAATGATACTTGAACCTAAGTGTGAGCTTTTTTAAAAAAATAAAATCCAGACTAAAAAAAGCTGCAGTCTAATGTATGTATTCGACTTATTATAAACCTAAAATTTACATCATGAAACTCCGAGTTTGCAGTTTACCTTTTCTTTCTTAGATTATCATTGTCTGTTTAGAAATAAATTGTATTTGTTGAGGGGGGGGGAAGGGGGGAAAACATATGTATGCTTTTCAGGGACACACACAAATTTTGGATTTCTGGCAGAAATTAACAAGAATCCATCATTTATTTCCTTTATCTATGGGTGAATAAGTAAGTGTTTCATAAAGTTCTTCTCCAGTGTGCTATGGATCTAAGAAAAGACTGTGGATTTATATTTTCAGTGTAGAAATCAAATTATTAACAGCCCTGGTTTAAAGATGACTCATGTCTATTTAAGAATGGATGGAATGGTCAAAAAATACAAATTATTTTGAAGAAAGCTTGAAATAAACAAAGACCTTTTGCTTAGTCTTGGGGCTTTTTTATGATGGCAGGATACTTGTTACTGAAAGAAAAAAAATATTTGTTGTGACAGTTAGCTAACATTTTATTTAAGTCATATATATAAATTCTTCTACTCAAAAATATCAATAGACTGTTGATTTTTTAAAAAGTCCTATCAAGTCATCTACTTCTATCTTTGTAGGCACATATACAATATACAGTACTATGCCTATTTGTTGTTGCTTTTAAGTACTCAAGTGATGTTAATATGAGTCTAATCCAAACTGTAATAGCATCTTTCCTGTTGCATTTGATGTCTGGGGAAAAAAACCGTAGAATGCACTGTGTTCTTATTCTGGTTGGTTCACAATATTCTATCATTGTCAGCATTATATATATTTGCATGTGTTTCTATGGAAGGAGGATTTTTGGTGATAATCTATTGCTATCAAAACATCTATCTAAAATACTTGTTTCCTTGTTTGTTTGTTTACTATTGGTACCCTAGAGTGACATTTAGCTCAAATATATTGACAGCCAAATTATGTTAAACTGTGCAGTGAGGTGAACAACCTTTGAAACCTTGCCAACCATTGGCAAAGCAAAGTACTGCAAGCATATAAAATATGTACATTGCACATTTATTTCAGAATAAATTATTTTATTAGTGGGACTAGAGCCAATTCATTTATTTTCAAGACTAAATTATTGCAATATAGCATACTTATGTTTATGTGTGGACTTGTCCTTGCAGATGACATTCTATGATGAACATTTTTCCTTTTACCTTAGAATACCTTGTGCATACTTTACATTTTTCATGTATTACTGTTATAGTAGGATGTAACCTATGGCCTACTCCACATTGGTCTCTTAGAAACCACTTAAACTAATTCAGAATCAAACAGTTCACAGAATCATATCCATAGTCTTAAACATATTTTAAAATTGTTTTGGGAACAGTGAACTGCTCTATGTTTTATGTTATTTTTTATTAATATTAACCTATTGATAAACATAGCTTGTTCTCTGGAGCATGTCAATAAGTACATTTCTTTAAATATTCGTGCAAATCCTGCAATTGATAATTAACACTGCAATCCAATAAATATACTCACTCAGTGTAAACTTACTGAGTTCGATAAGATTTAATAGCACTGAATTTTGACTTGCAGCTTTACATGTACTTATTTGGAATCGGAGTAAAAGCTACTTAAATCAGTGGAATTTACAAAGAAATCATCATAAGGCCATGTCTAAAATCCATTTTAACATAAATACTTATTGTTTTTAAAATGTAATTTATGTAAATTCAATTATGGCTTAATATTGATTTAAGGGACACATTTGGTGTGCTTGTGACAGCAATGTGGAGATGTATGCATTTAGAGAAATGCATTCTGGTGCCTTTCAGAAATTTTGGGAAAACTCCATTTCATTTTCAAATATATATTTATATTTATAAATATAATTATAATTATCAGACAAATCCAGCATTATTCCATTCCATTCCAAGAAGTTCTAAAAATCTATTCTGGGTAGCCTAGGCATTCTTTTAAAATCATTTAGTTCTGTGTGCCAAAGTAGTGTTATGTATTCTCTGGGTTCTGAATTGCTTTTAAATATGCATTGCTTGTACATCAGGAGGGTCCCTTCTAAGAAAGTTGAAACATTTTCTAAGATTTTTCCTTTATTAATAACATTTTATAGTCCATTAATATTGTCTTCTGGTGAACGATTTAATGCAACATATTAGTTTACAGGATTGTGCCATGTTTGTTTTCGGAGATGAGATGTCAGCCACTAACCCTGTATTTTTTAGGTCTTCTCAACTAGAGAATCTCAAAATCCTACCATTTAAATGTTTAGTTCGGTATTAATAGTGCTCATTCAATCAATTTTTTTTTTTTACTATATTCAACATTCCTTTTTGACCTGGAGACTCTGCCAGCAAAAATGTAGAATCTTCTTGTTTATCTGTCATCACTGATGAAGGCCTCAACAGTTTGGATTTTTTTTTAAATAATCATGTTAAGATTAGATGTGATGTGATGATTGATCAAGCCAATTTGGGCAAAGAATGTTCTTGCACATGTTGAACAGACATATATAGACACTGCAGTTGTTGTGCTAGTGGCCTTGGTTTTATGAGGCTAGCACTTACGTTGTGCTTCAGCAATGTGCCTTGCTTCGTAAATTTGACCACCTTTGTGGATGAGACTGCAAAATGGTTTTGTGCCAGGACTTCCCAGGGGTTGTGTTTATATCAAGTAATGACGGGGAGGCCTTTAGTGTGCCTTTGTGCTATTTCTTCACATGCGAGCCTCTTCCAGTAGGAAGTTCCCCAAAAGGAGTTGCTTGGGTATGTGCTTGTTTGGTATACATATGACATGACCTTCTTTGCTACCCCCTCTCCCATTTGTGCTTTCATCAGAAATCTGTGGAGTGATGGTAGACCTGTTCTAGATAAAACTTCAGTGTCTGATTCTTTGTCTTGTCAACTAATGCCTAATATCCTGTAAAGACAAGTCATGTGGAAATGGTCTTGCATTACTTCGACGCATAGTGTTTCTCAGGCACAAACTCTGCCAACAAAAAAGTAGGCTGTAATGTCATAGTGGCAATGTTACAAGAATATTTGACTTGTTCTTATCTGCTATTCATTACCCGTAGCCATCCCACGACTGATTAAAATACTGGAACTTCAGTTAATTGATGAAATTATCTTAGGAATTAGATTGAATTAAACTTTTGATGTGGTGGTATATTTCTCTGTTTCACAGCTGAATTTCAGTTGGTGCAGCCTGTTTTTTCTAAACTTTGTATCAATGGAGTTTCTTCTTTTAGGGATGAAATAGATTATTTGTTTCACTTTTTTTATATCTTGCTGATATTCTAGGTTTAGTGAAGATATATTTCTAAAACTCCATAATAATTTTCTGGTACACATATTTTCCAAACTCTGCTTATGCTCAGCTCTCATTTCCAAATCTATTTAGGATTATATTCTGGCAATAAGCTAAAAGCCCATACACTATATTTCACTTTGCATCTCATAGTAA